GAATCACTATTACAAATTTTCCACTGTGGATTAATTCACACTGTTAGGCTGGCAGTTTATTGAAAATAGAGGGTACAGTTTAAGAATTGCCATGAGTCAAGGTAGTCCAACAATGAACTCACAGCTGCAGGGGACACTCGGGTTTTGGAAATTAGGTGGAAGCATTTGGTAATAGAAGTCATTCCTCACTGATGCCATAAGAGGCCACAGGGAAATCAGAGACCATCAGGACTCAAGATCAGATTCATCGGGAGGGTATGGCTTGGGACCACATAAGGACACAAGCAACAGCAAATTTAAATTTACTGTAAATTCTGCTAGATGCCAGTGAGTTATTTGAATAAATTAAGATAACTGTACCATTTACATGTACACTTCAAACTAAGTGAAAAAATAGAAACCTATCATTTCTACTACTTTATAAGCAGATTCTCAAGTTCCCAGGATGGTCTTCAGTTTCTGTTTCTGAAGATCCAGCCCATCCTCATTTCTTCCCACCAGCTGCCCCTTGCCAAGGTTAAGCTGAGCCAGGAAGGGCTTGATTCAGGGACTTTTCGGGCAGTCTAGTCCCAAAGCTTTAAATACTTCTATATGCAAACATAGCCCAAACTTATCATTTCCAGTCTTAACACTTTCTCTGAGCTGGTCTACTACCTACGACTGCCAACTTGTCGCATCTACCTGGACAAATAACGGCATCTCAAACTTATTATCTGATTTACTCAGAGCTCCTGGTTTTCCCTCCAAACTTGTCCACCCAGGTCAAGTCCCCCTCAGCAGCAGTTATCATCCCAGCATCCAGACCTGTGAAGTAAAACAACCCTTGATGCCTCACTCTCCCTCACCTCAGGCACACTCCCATCTCCAGACAACCAAAGCCCCACCAGTTCCCCGTCAAACACATCTGGAATTGGCCCCGTCTGCACCACATCCACTCCTATTACCTTACTTCAAGCCATCCGCATTTCTCAACCCCTACCTGGTCTCCCTGCTTCCACCCTTGCCCCTCAAGCCATTTCCACCTAGAAGCCAGAATGATTTTTTTCAAAAAAGAAAGCTACATCACTGCCCTGCTCCAGATCTTCCAGCCGTCTCCATTTGTACTTAACAAGCAGAAGTAGAAAGATCATAATAGAATGGAGAGTCTGAGCTCTGGCCCTGCTACTAACTCTAAATTTCAGCAAAAGTATGTGACTGCCTCCTCCAAGGCCTTAGTTGCAAAATGAAAGGGCTGTACGTTTAGCTTTAAAAGTCTAATATTCTAAATCCAGTATACAATTTAAAATGCCCATCTCGGCTTATTCCATTTCTCTGTATCAATAAAACATCTATTTCATATATCCTGTATCTAATCCCCCCACTCCCCATCCTGGGGTTCGTGCTCAGGAACACAACACAGAGATGCCACAGTTTTTCTCCCACTTTCATTTGATATCTTCAGGCAGAAAAGAGGGATAGGGACAACTGGGTGGCTCAGTTGGTCGAGCATCTGACTCTTGATCTCAGCTCAGGTCTTAATCTCCGGGTCATGAGTTCAAGCCCTGTGTTGGGCTCCACGCTGGGCATGGAGGCTACTGAAAGGAAGAAAGAAAACACAGAAAGGAAAAAAGAGGAGAAAGAAAAGAAAGGAAGAAAAGAGGGGCACCTGGGTGGCTCAGTCAGTCAAACATCTGCCTTTGGCTCAGGTCATGATCTCAGGGTCCTGGGATGGAGCCCAGCTTCAGGCTCCCTGCTCAGTGGGGAGCCTGCTTCGCCCTATCCCTCTGCCCCTCCCCCACTGTTGCTTGTGCTGTCTCAAGTAAAATCTTTAAAAAAAAAAAAAAAGGATAGAGAGGAATCTCAACCTTCCACTTGGGCAGGTCCATCTGACATGGCAACTCTACAGCTGGAAGGTATCCACATAAGATCACCGAGTCCTGGCCGTACCCCTCAGATGGGTCATTTCAAGCTGCTACGCACCTTCCAGGTGACACAAAACTAAAACTGACACGCCCACAGAAAAGCCAAGTGCAGATTTTTGTGAGCCAGGCCTCTATGTGGTCAGAATACTGACCTTTTGATCATTTTTTTTCTCCCTGTAGGATTCTAGGAAAGACTACGTTTTAACTGTGAGAATGACTTATTCCAGAAAAGAGTATCATTTTTTTAGGAGAACCAACTAAAATATACAAACCACGTTTGTCTCCACGAAATGAAAGGACAGTGTGGTGTAAGGAATTCACATGGATGTGGCTTGAGAATGAAGGAGAGCCAGGCGGACAAGATGATTTTCCCAGTTTGGTTCATTTTTTAAAATACTGTTTCGTGGAAGCCATGGGGAAGGGGGTGGCGGCGAAGAAACAAACCGCAAAACCCTCACACTCGGAAAGCCAGGAAAGAGAACCTCCTCTGACTTGACTTAGGACAAATTAAGCAAATAAAGGAAAACCACTTAGCCACCCCCACGCCCCTTCTGTCAGGGCTACCAACAGCCAACTTCCTCTATCCCCATCCTCTATCTTTCTGCCCCAACGTCACAAACAGCCCAAGGTATTGCTCATGTTCTGGTTCTATATCCAGAGTTTACCTGCTCTGGGGTGAATTCCCTGCTTCTTCTGACCCCCATCTCTATGCTTTCCTTTGATTCATCAGAATATTAAAATTTGAGATCTTAATAACACTGCTTCCCAGATTTATTGCCCCTGCACGCCAAGATCTTAGCTCTGAACTCCCCCTTCACACTGGTCTTGCGGCACCCTGCATCTGCCCGGGGCTCCACGGTAGTTGGGAGCCCCAGCTGCCACTACCATGAGAAGCCCCAACAGAAACTAGACAGAGCCAGCAGATTAAAATGAACGCTCACGGCAAACACGGGCCAAAGACAAAAAGTTTACATCTACTCAAACTGCTGGAGACGGCAGGTGACCCTGCGCCAGGAAAGCCCCATTCTCCAATCACCAAACCCATGGAGGATTTTGCTCGTTTCAAATATCCACTCAGAAAATATTCAAGGGCCATCTGGCATGGTCCTAAGTTTGAAATACATATTAAATATGAGGAGCTTTGAGGCCTTAGAGAAATCTCAACTTGGCTTAACTCTTCTTCACCAAGGAAGCAAAAAGTTAACCAGGACTCTCTCTCCCCTGGAAGGTCTACTGGAAATCCAATTGGTTGAACATAGTAACTAGGTTCCCAGCTTTAAGACTGCCATTTGAAACTTTCTCTAAGCACCAAGTAGTAGGAGACTCTGGACTCCATTGTTCTCTAATTGTTTCCTGTGTGGAGGCTGATCTACACACCAGACTGTCGCCTCGCCTGTGGCAGGGACCAGTACTTGCTTGGCATCCCACCCCGCACTTAAGCATATGGTTGAGCATTTGGTAAACAATGCAGATGTTTGCTGATTTGTCTTAAATTTGTTTTAAAGCAATTTTTAGTTGCTTGGGGTTTTTTTGTTTTTCTTTTTTAGGAAAATAGGTTTAAATTCCCCCCTTATCTGCTTTTTTTTAACCTGGGAAAACAGAACACACCTTATTTGATAAACAAAGCAAAGAAAATCCCACTAAGTTCCTCACTGTACGAATTATAAGGCAGGCTGACTGGCCATTATGAGAGGGAAATCTCCCTTCATTCCACTCTGCCCTAATTTGCTGCCTACCCCTCCTTCCAGCACAGCACAAAATGTTTGGTAAATATCTCATTATGGTGAATCTTCATGACTTAAGAGGTTAAAGGTAGAGTCCTGCCATCTTGGTCACTTCTACCACTTGCTGTCCTCCCCCTTTCCCATTTTTCCTCAGCCTCCACACAAGTCCCATTCTGAAGACAACCAAACTCACTCTAGCTCAACAGCTGACTGTGGACAGAGCTATAACCTCTTCTAAACCAAAAGCTGACACCCCAGAGGAACAGATTTTCCTCCTTCAAGGTAAGGGTTATCTTTCCAGCTAATCATCCTAGAGTCTGTTTGGGTTTTGTTTTTAAGCCTTAAGGAATTTTACCTTCTAGCACCACCTAAGACTGCTATCTGGGTACACACAGAAGCCTTTGAGCAATGGATATGCAAATTAGATGGTTTATACAATAGATGTGACTAAACCAAGGACATTACCTTAACAGGTAAGTTTTCAGACAAATTCACTTCAAACATTTCCACTAATCTGAATTTTGGGGTAACTTATTAATTTAGAATTTCAGTGATAAGATGTGTGCTCTGATTCTCTTCATTCAAACACAATGCTGCCATTTACCAAAGGGGCAGAAAAAGGAATTTTTGTTTGTTTGTTTAAAAAGATAAAGTATTTTGGTTACTTGAAAAAGCCATTGCTGAATAACATTCTGTACAGTATTTGTGACTCACTCTCAAATGGGATGTCACTGACACCCCCAGTCTTCTTTCTTAGGTGGTAAACAAAAATATATTAGAACAGAACTTTAGTTTCATACTTTCTTGTAATTTACAGGAAACAAATCTTTAGAAATACTTTGCCTTCAACATTTTAACCTCTTAATTTTACTTTTTTATGGTTTGGATCTCAGAAAAACTAACTGGGGCTGAGGAAGTATTACCCCTCTCCCTTTTTGCTCTACAATGTTAAAGTCAGTGTTCCCTCAAACAAGTAAAAACAAAAACAAACAAAAAAAACAATGACAGCTCAAAACCGTCCTGAAACTTTCTCATGATAAATACCGTAACTGGGTTGTGCGTTATACAGGTGTATACATTTTTCAAAACACAGCAAACTGTGTACTCATGACCTCTGTATTTTACAGCATATAAATTATGGCTCAGTAAAAACTGGAAAAAAAAAAAAAAAACCTTCCTGAAAATCACATTTCAATATCTGTCATCAGTAATTCCTCTCAGACCTGAGTTCTCTGTGGGGCAACAAGATCCTAAAGCCAAAAAGGAATCTCACAACCCAAAAGCCATTGATACCCAGATCCCCAGTTCTCCAGAAACTTCCATCTCGAATTTTCCTTCACACTGGAATTGCCCCAGATACGGAAATTCCACTCACCTCAGCTGACTGAGACGGCATCTTCAGCTTGGTGAGCTTGGCTTTGGCAGGCACTTTTAAATCTGTTTTTTCAAAGGTCTGTTGCCGGTAGTCTTCCGGCAGGGGCTTCAGTTCAGGAGACTCACTAGGAGCCTGATCTTGACCATCCATGGGCCGGACATAAGCTGTGGGCTTCTGCTGCATTGCAACAGTTTTTGAGGGGAGGGAAGGTGGGGGAAAAGTCTGAGAAGGTGGCTGGGGAGGGGCCACCCCAAGGCTGGCAACTGCCACTAAATTGTCTTGAGGAGTCTCTTTATCGTGGACCTTTACCACGAGGTCTTTGGGAGATGTGGCTAGGCAATAGCCTTTATTGTTACTGTTACTGTTGTGAACCTTGCTGCTTCCTTGTGTCCTGGGAAGAGTCTGCTGGTTGGAACGTACAGGTGACAGGGGGGGCACTGGGGAAGGCAAGGAGAGTAAGGGAGAGAGCTCCCTCTCTGGAGCGGAGTCTGTCACCAAAGCACAGCGGTCTCCATCAGCCCTGCGGTCACCCTTTCTGTGATGACTGGAGCTGCACCCCTCCTGACCGAGGCGATCTTGGGTCGGGTGCTGGCTGTCTGGTGGCCCATAGCTTTTGACACGAGGATTTGACATTGGTTCCATTCTTGGCTGTGCCATCTTTGGATTGTGGCTAATGTTACCAACAGGAAGTGGTCCAGAGGCAGGAGTGTTAACAGGCTGGTGGTGGGCACTAGTGTGGAAGGAGTGGGATGGAATGCTGCTCCCCTTCTCAGGAAATAAAGGATATCTTGGCCTTCCCAACCTATTTTCAGAAGCATCCAAGTGATGAGGGTGGGACTTGCTACTAAGGAACTCCTTCACTTCTTCATAGTTTCCCAACATGTTCTGTATTCGACTGGATAGCTCATCACCTTTTTCTGTCTGGAAAAAGATAGCAGAGTTAGATACTGCGAAAAAAAGTCTAAGGAAAATCATCATTTAATAAATGATGTTACATAGTGCCATTTAAAGGGGGAAAAAACACTTCAATTTAATGTGTAACATAACATTGAACATGCAGTTTCAACTCAATTTCCCTGTTGAGAAGCCTGAACTGGACAAATATTACTAAAGACAGGAAATTAACATTACAAAAGACCACAAACTTTGGCAATTTGAATAACAAGGTTCAGAGAATTTTCATAGTTTATTTTCAAAGACAATCTAAGATAAGTTGTCTTATTTTCACATGTGTGGCCCTTGTTCAAACTCACTTTCATCACAGAGTTAAATACGGTGATAAACCAGGCTTTCTAGTATCCAATAAATAAATACCTTGTAGGGCTCTCCAAAAAGGGGGATCTTTTCAGAAAATGCCTCTTTGTCTTGGTGAGCTTCCTGGTTGCGTCTTTCCTTCTCTCTAATTCGAAGCAGGTTTCTGTCTTCATTGTACAAGCTGTTTCAGATGCCACAAAAGAACAAAAATAATAAAAATGTATCAGTGTCCAAGTTTTGCTATGCATATGTACATGTGTGAGGGAGGCCAGAAGAGGTCAACAAGAAGTGATGACAAGGGAGAGGTTTTAAAGAAGGCCTAAATCCCTCAACCCACTCCTGGATTAAGGCTGTGACCCTCCGGGCCTTGGGTCCTGGCTCCAGAAACCTAAGCATTCACTCTGGAGTACCGCCTTCATGGCTCAGGACTGACTCCAAACTGAACAGTGTTTTATAGGCAGTCGTGGAACAGAGACAAGATTAATGATATTTTTGCTTCCAGCTTGCAAAATATGGGGTAGAGGTAGGAGCTTTTCATCTGAAGGAGTCAGCAGGATGTGAACTTTAAAAAGGCTGTTTTCCTGGATCAGTATTATACATTTTGGAAGATTAAAATCAAAAGGTTTATTTCATAATTAAAAGATTACCAAGCACCCAAAACAGCATTTACTTTATTCTCAGCTTATTCTACTGGGAGTGTCTTGGCATGTTAAACCCGAAAAGATAATTTTTATTTCTCATTTCAAATGTCATGGATGGGAAAATCCAATTTTAGATGTCAGCTTTACCTACCAAGAAGTCTGATAATCTGATTGCCCTACTTAAACCACATAAAAATACATCCTAAATCATCAAGCCCTGGCACCAAAAGGGGTTGAAAATGCCTTCACTGACAAACAAATGGCAGAGAAGGAAACCAACAAGAGAGCAGTTTTAGCTAGCATGTAAACCAAAAGTGGGCCTGCCTCAGGTGGGCAACACAGGCCACACCCTCCTGACCCCACATGTGATATATAAGAATAATGAAGGTAAGAACTATAAACTGACTTTTGCCCTCATACATTTGCTTCTAGGGTAGCTACTAAGTAGCTATTTCCCCCCCCCCCAATATTATGTGAATAAATAAGTAGGAAAACATTAAATTGTCTTGCCAAGACCATATGTACCTTTAGAAACTCTAGCCCTGATCTCAGACACCCCTTTTTCCTGGCCTCTCTGCTCTCATGACTTCTCTTATTTCCTCTGACAAGAGCCTACTTACTGGTCTCCTTGCCTCCCCAACATCTTGTCCCTCTAAACTAGCCTTCTCATGGAAAGAAATCCAATCTATAAAGCTGTGGTTCTCATGCCACTATCCACATTTTAAAATAAGAGGCATTTGATGGCTCTTTGCTGCTGCAGAATAAACTCTAAATCCTTGCTTGGGCATTAAAATCCCCCCAAGAATCTGGTACAGATCTACTCTAGATATTACCCCACTGTTTCCCTGCAGGCCTGCCACATGCATTCTACCTGTCGGTCATATCCATTCCCCAAACTTTTACATTCTAATCCCCACCCCAGAACGCTGAATGATAACCAATTCTTCCAGGACCAGCTTACGCATGAAATAGGATTCTCCTGCAAACCATCTCTATATTCCAGGGATACCAGACTATTCCCTGCTCCTCACTGGTACCCTGGACTTTGATGCTTTCATTCTAATCACACAAATTTCCTCCGCTTCTCTCTCAACCTCACACCCTCAGCCCCAATTTTCAGCTACCAGCAAATCTCGAGTAGTTCCAATCACTCTAAAGGCTTCCTCAAATCCACCCAGCCTGTGCTGAGAGAACATACTGATTGCTTCTCTCTCCTCCTCCCCTTTCCCCTAGGATGTGAACTCCATCAAAGTAGAACCTCTCATTTATCTCTCTCCTGATGCTAACGCATGGTACTTTGCATAAAAACCAGTCATTAAATATTTTTTTTAATTAAAAAACAGCCACTATGCTTACAGTATATTTTTAAAAACTTACTTGTAATTAAAAAAAATTAACTCTGGAAGACATATGCAAAAACAATTTTAAAAAATAGCCATCTAAAAAGTGGTTTTCTGCTATTTCCATAGCCTTAAGCTACCTGGCTAAATTCACCTGGATGTGGAAAAGAATTCCCTGCTTAGTCCACCGGAACAAAAACTTTCCCTAAACGATGGATATCTCGATGGCCTACTTTATAAGAGAACTACAGAGTGAACAATTTTTGTTAGTCAACATACTGAAAGAAGTTGAGGAAAAAAAAACTAAACCGGAAACTGTCTACGGAGTCTTCTTTAACACAGTCGGAATCTCACAAGTTTTGGACAGTTAGATTTATTTCTGGTTGAAAGAAGCACAGTGGACTTGACCACTCAGGAATTCCTTTCAGTTATTTTATAATTTTGGTAATTCCTCACTGGCTCAAAAAAAAAAAAAAAAATCACGTAACATTAGCTCCATGGGAGCCAAAAAGAGGTTTGATCAGGAAGTAACTTTTTCCCTTCAAACTTCTTTTACAGCCACTTTGTTTGCAGAGGGGGTGGGGCACGCTACTGTCCTGTGAGCAACCTGAATAGCCAAGCTTCCCTTTTCCAAAGCTACGTGGTACAGGGACCCCACACGGGGTACACACAGGAGGAGCAACAGCTTCCCAAGTGCATCTGCTTCACTGTTCTCTCCCTTTATGATTCTGCTGGTTACAATGCGAGAGTCCCTGCCCACTTCCGAATTGCTACCTTTGTCCCCAAAAAGGTAACCCCAAATGGCAAAATTCTCAGTTCCAGATTGAAAAGTGAGGGTGTGAACAAGTAGCAGCTCAACCATCATCGGGCTGCTTGGGGTCCTCACGTAATTTTCCTATCAACTCCACACATACCTTTAAGAAAAGCTACCCTGGCTTAAAAGTACTGAAGTATTTCTAAATTGATCAGCACAGTCTTATCTCAGTATCAGTTCGGTAAGTTTTACCACACACTTCTAGGTTTTAGTTCTCAAATAATAAAAATTGCTATGGAAATAATAAGAACCCAATTGTACAACATTCCTAACACTGGCTTATTGCTATGTGATTCAAAAATCAAGGTACCTCCCACAGGGAAGAAATCCTATTAAATTAAGGACTCTGCTTAATTAAAGGTTTTACTTCATTAGTTTAAAAAAAGTTAAAACGCACACCAACATTTTATTGGCAGACATATGTAATACTATACCAATTTTGAAACAAGCTTTGAATGTGTGGGTTTTTTTTAATTAACCACTACCCTTCAACTGAGAAACCCCAAAATTGTGAGATGAGGAAAGACCTCACGAGTGGCTCTGGTAGGATGAGTTTTAGGAGGTTTGGACCTAGTGAGAGAAACTCACTCTCCCCCCACACTGTCCCTTGGGTCTCACTCCCCAAGGCTCCTGCGCAGGGCAGGGGAAGGCAGAAGAGACAGGAAGTGACCAGTCCATAATTCCCAGGACTGCACAGGATAGGCTATGAGCCCTCATTCTTCTGGATTGTCTACCTTCTCCTTGCCACTGACCAGGTTTTACCAGTCATACTGGGGAGCTTTCTGGTTTATTTGGTTTTTACTTCCTCTAAGTTTGCAATGATTTAAAGAATAGTTTGTTAAGGTTCGTAGGCAAATTTTTTCACAAATATTTTCTTTTTCTTGTTTCCATTTTGACATCGGGGGAAACATACATTTTAAAAATATCAACACAATTAGTAGCATGAGTAAGTAAATCACTGTTCAGTCTTACACATCATTTTTAATTCAAGGTGCAAGCAAAGAACGGGTAGACGGAAGAATTTTAAATGAGGGGATTTTAGGTAGCAGTACACGTCCTACATGATTCACAGACTGTTAATTACCATTGAATAATTACAAGTTGGCTATCACTTCATTTAATTAAAGGTGGCATTTTTCCTCTGGTGTGGAGAAAAACATTCTCCCTCTCAGGATAACCTCATCCCAACGTCAGCCTTTCACAGTCAGACTTTCTCATTGTTCCACACAGAACAGAGTGAGCAACAAGTGCTCCTTCCCTGCTCTCCAGGGCGTTTTGTATTAGATGAGAGGTTCCTGAACCAGTTAGCACTAGAGAGCGCCGAATCCTAACCACTAGACCACCAGGGAAGCTCCAGTTAGCACTAGAATCACCTGGAGGACCTGTTAGAACGCGGAGCGCAGAGACTCCTCCCCCCCGCCACCGAGTTTCTGAGTCAGTAGATCTGATGCGGGGCCTGAGATCTGCATGTGTAACAAGTTTCTAGGTGGTTCTGAGGAGTACAAGAGAGCACACTCTTCTTGGGCTCTATGGATCACTTTAATAAAGCTTACCAAAAACAGGAGCAATGATGACAGCAACAGCAGGTTGCCAAGGACTGCCACCACTTAATGTCTGTTATTTGGTCAGCACGGATTTAGGCACATCACACCAGTGTCCTATTTAATTTTCACAACAACTCTGTGAGAGGGAGATTATGAACCCCATTTTCTAGGTGGAAAAAAAAAAAAAAAAGGTAAAGCTCGGAGATTAACTTGGTGTTAAATGATAGACCTTAAAATTTGAATGCAGGTCTGCTTGGCAAAAAGCATGTATTCTTAATCACAGTTCTGCTAGCAAGTTCTGCACAGCAAGGCTGTGTTAAATAGGGCAACAACAAAGAAGGCATGCTGTACGTGTGCTCACTCACAATCACTCATAATTCCTTGTTCTCAAAGAGGTACACATCGATAAGGGAGGTTTCACCCCTGCCAGCTGAGCAATTTCAGAGCCACAAAATGTGTTTGGTTAAATGTATTCACATGGGTCTGTCTTTGCCTACGGACCTGACAGAGAGCCCTTGGAGAAAGGGATGGCCGGCAGCACAAAGTTACTCCTCCAGTTATAAAAGCTGTACTAAAATTCTTATTTTAGAGCCTTTTTTTTTTTTTGAGCCCCTTTTTAACTTACAGATTTGAGGTCCCTGGCCCATAATAACCTCTGGATTCACAAGTCACCTCCAACATGTTAAGGGGCTCTTCACATTAATTTCTTTCAAGGACAGGCTGTCAATAAACTTGCACCAAAGCTGCCATTCCATGCCCGATATTGGGCTCCCCTCCCAGTAACTTCTGGCCACTGACCTAAGCCATGTTCCTTGGGCCTCGATGCCAGTTGTCTGGTCAGC